TAAGCAGCTCTTGTAATGAACGCTCGATGTCTACCCCCAATTTATTATAATGGTACATGCTACCAGAACAACCCTTCTGTGTTGAAATGGAGCAAAATATGACTTTGGTTCCCATACTGAGAAAGATTTCATTCCAATCTCATTAAAATCCATTTTTTTATATCCCTCGATCCCCGGCCACGTCATACCAAGAGACGTTAAAATATGGTACTTGTTGTTACCCTGCCTGGCGCTCGGCATTAAGGGCCTAAAGCAAGGACTGGTCGGCTCGGGGTTAGTATACTGTGTCTGAGTTGGGTATTCATGTTAAACTGCGGCATGATATCTCAGTAGGCTAGCACTATAAAACCGACATTAGTCCGGACTAGTACAAGCAGCCACACACACACGCGCGTGCATGCATGTTGCTATGTAAGTGCAATAATCTTGAACGACGTTAAACCCCATTTCAGCTCACCTCGAGGAGATTTAATGGTTTTTGTTTGTTGCTTGACGCCGCACTCAGCACTATTCCAGCTATATGACTATAAATCGGCATCAGTCCGGACTAGTACAAGCAGCCACACACGCATACACACATGTGCATGCATGTTGCTATATAAGTACGATAATTTTGAACGAGACGTTAAACCTAATTTCACCTCACCGTTTCGGAGAACAAGATCGTATTTTAATGAGATCGCATTTTATTCGAGGGGAGATGGACAAAGAACCTGAATAAGATACTGGCACAGCTAATTCGCGAAACAGACTTGGAACAGATTGTGATGTAGCCTTATGCCAAGTGCAGGCATGCTGAACCTATCTCTCTGACATTTTATATAATAGGTTTTCGTGCCTGTGTTGCCCCCAATCTGTTCACTATCACAAGATTTGCTATCTACCTGTGGGGGTTTTCACCTTGGCGTTGTGTTGGGGTGTGGCATGTCTCACCTGTACTCACGGGAGTATCTGGCGCTCACGATGCAGCTTGGTCTGGCGGAGCTTCTTCATCTGGCTAGCGACGCGTTGAGCGGTAACTGTATAGGTTTGTAGGTTGATTACCCCTGAATGTCCACCTAGACTTGCTTCTGGTCCTAGTCTGTATAGTAGGTTCATATATCGTGGTAACTATAGGTTTGTAGGTTGATTACCCTAGAATGTCCACCTAGACTTGCTTCTGGTCCTAGTCTGTATAGTAGGTTCATGTATCGTGGTAACTATAGGTTTGTAGGTTGATTACCCCAGAATGTCCACCTAGACTTGCTTCTGGTCCTAGTCTGTATAGTAGGTTCATGTGTCGCGGTAACTATAGGTTGATTACCCCAGAATGTCCACCTAGACTTGCTTCTGGTCCTAGTCTGTATAGTAGGTTCATATATCGTGGTAACTATAGGTTTGTAGGTTGATTACCCCAGAATGTCCACCTAGACTTGCTTCTAGTCCTAGTCTGTATAGTAGGTTCATGTGTCGCGGTAACTATAGGTTGATTACCCCAGAATGTCCACCTAGACTTGCTTCTGGTCCTAGTCTGTATAGTAGGTTCATGTGTCGCGGTAACTATAGGTTGATTACCCCAGAATGTCCACCTAGACTTGCTTCTGGTCCTAGTCTGTATAGTAGGTTCAAGTGTCGCGGTAACTATAGGTTGATTACCCCAGAATGTCCACCTAGACTTGCTTCTGGTCCTAGTCTGTATAGTAGGTTCATGTGTCGCGGTAACTATAGGTTGATTACCCCAGAATGTCCACCTAGACTTGCTTCTGGTCCTAGTCTGTATAGTAGGTTCATGTGTCGCGGTAACTATAGGTTGATTACCCCAGAATGTCCATCTAGACTTGCTTCTGGTCCTAGTCTGTATAGTAGGTTCATGTGTCGCGGTAACTATAGGTTGATTACCCCAGAATGTCCACCTAGACTTGCTTCTGGTCCTAGTCTGTATAGTAGGTTCAAGTGTCGCGGTAACTATAGGTTGATTACCCCAGAATGTCCACCTAGACTTGCTTCTGGTCCTAGTCTGTATAGTAGGTTCATGTGTCGCGGTAACTATAGGTTGATTACCCCAGAATGTCCACCTAGACTTGCTTCTGGTCCTAGTCTGTATAGTAGGTTCATGTGTCGCGGTAACTATAGGTTGATTACCCCAGAATGTCCACCTAGACTTGCTTCTGGTCCTAGTCTGTATAGTTGGTTCATGTGTCGCGGTAACTATAGGTTGATTACCCCAGAATGTCCATCTAGACTTGCTTCTGGTCCTAGTCTGTATAGTAGGTTCATGTGTCGCGGTAACTATAGGTTGATTACCCCAAAATGTCCACCTAGACTTGCTTCTGGTCCTAGTCTGTATAGTAGGTTCATATATAGTGGTAACTATAGGTTTGTAGGTTGATTACCCCAGAATGTCCACCTAGACTTGCTTCTGGTCCTAGTCTGTATAGTAGGTTCATGTGTCGCGGTAACTATAGGTTTGTAGGTTGATTACCCCAGAATGTCCACCTAGACTTGCTTCTGGTCCTAGTCTGTATAGTAGGTTCATGTGTCGCGGTAACTATAGGTTGATTACCCCAGAATGGCCACCTAGACTTGCTTCTGGTCCTAGTCTGTATAGTAGGTTCATGTGTCGCGGTAACTATAGGTTGATTACCCCAGAATGTCCACCTAGACTTGCTTCTGGTCCTAGTCTGTATAGTTGGTTCATGTGTCGCGGTAACTATAGGTTGATTACCCCAGAATGTCCATCTAGACTTGCTTCTGGTCCTAGTCTGTATAGTAGGTTCATGTGTCGCGGTAACTATAGGTTGATTACCCCAAAATGTCCACCTAGACTTGCTTCTGGTCCTAGTCTGTATAGTAGGTTCATATATAGTGGTAACTATAGGTTTGTAGGTTGATTACCCCAGAATGTCCACCTAGACTTGCTTCTGGTCCTAGTCTGTATAGTAGGTTCATGTGTCGCGGTAACTATAGGTTTGTAGGTTGATTACCCCAGAATGTCCACCTAGACTTGCTTCTGGTCCTAGTCTGTATAGTAGGTTCATGTGTCGCGGTAACTATAGGTTGATTACCCCAGAATGGCCACCTAGACTTGCTTCTGGTGGTATTGTGTATAGGAGGTTCATATATCGTGGTAACTATAGGTTTGTAGGGTGCTTACGTCAGAATGTCCACATCGACTTGCTCCTGATGCTATTGTGTATAGGAGGTCCATATATCGTGGTAACTATAGGTTTGTAGGGTGCTTACGTCAGAATGTCCACATCGACTTGCTCCTGATGCTATTGTGTATAGGAGGTTCATATATCGTGGTCACTATAGGTTTGTAGGGTGCTTACGTCAGAATGTCCACATCGACTTGCTCCTGATGCTATTGTGTATAGTAAGTTCATATATCGTGGGATCTATAGGTTTGTAGGTTGATTACCTCAGAATGTCCACCTAGACTTGCTTCTGGCGCTATTAGAAGGGTTCATGCAACGAGATAACTACCTAAGTTAAGTAGGTTAGCTTTCTGAGGTTATCTCCCAGCTCAGAGCTGACGAACGTTTGTCTCTTAAAGGCTAAGCTCTTGGGTACTTTTTTCATCACGTGTTAGATATAACTGAACTTTACTTAACATGCTCAACCCTCCTTCAATGTTCTTACACCAATCAGCATTTCTAATACTCCTCTCTTCACTCCTTAAACCTATGATTGTGGGTTTGAATCCCTGTTCGCCCCGATTATGTTTCTAGGTTTGTCAGCACCAAACCCGTGCTCGTGGGTTTCACCGAAGTGGTAAACGTCTGAAACCTGCATCACTTCGGGCCTTCCTCCCACATTAAGCTGACACGCCGTGATATAACTGGAATACTGTTAAAAGCGGCGTTAAACCCAACTCACTCACTCACCCTTAATGGGTAACTGATTTGTTTCTAATTTCATATGAGACTTTTTTTCAACCTCATAATTTACTGACAATACAATGAATTGTTCATTAGAATGACGTAAGCGCGCGTACGTTTTTGTTCATAAAACAGATTTCCGTATGCAGTATAACCTTTTATACCATGTATATCGCTAGCCTGTATGACATCACACTATGATTTCATGTATTTGCTTGTTTATCACGCCTTCATAAAAATACAGTATTGTCTTTATTACATACTGAGTGAGTGAGTTTTACGCCGCTTTTGGTATATCCAGCCATATAACAGCGGGGAGACCAAAAATGGGCTTCAAACATTGTGTTCGTGTGAGGAATCGCATTCCTTTTTTTTGACGTTAACCACTCTGCTACTCCACCGTCCCAATATTACATATTGAACGAGATACTACTAATATTATCAAAATATACCCAACTGAATTTCCAAATGCTGGCATCTACATGTACTTGTTGAGACGTGTTAGCTGATACTTGTGTTTTGTATGTTGCCACTGGCCGGTGGGCTACGCCAACTGCATCAAGGATAATGAATAAAATATGTCAAACATGCTATGTCATAAACGGAACTAGCAGATTCTGTCTGAACCGAGGTCATTCGGGGAAAACGTATTGAGGTTAGACAGTACTCAGTATTAATCGGATTCTAACCAGAGTACGTGAATCTGGGATTTGAACCCACGAGTATATGAGTCAAGCCTAAGGGGCGTAACTCTGCGCTGCAATTTCGGTAGCTTACAAGACTTGGCGAAATAAAGATAGTTGTGTAACCCACAGAACATGCGAAGCAGTTTGACCAACTGACATTAAATATAAACGTAAATATTATAATAAATGCACCAAGGAGAAAAGTGAGAAAGTGATGAAAACCATGGCAGATTAACTATAGTAAAATCAGGTGTCCTTAACTTCTTTTGAGCAGTATATTAAACAATTCAACCACTGGTAACAACAACATAACACTGTTCTTCCCTTCAAATGCTCAACTCTCAGACACACCGAGACCATCAATGAATCAGAGAACCTCAGTAAGTCTAGAAATCGCTTGGGGAAGGCACTGCAGAATCTTGTATAAAACCTCTCTTGTTACTTCTGTCTTCAGATCGTGCTGAAAACACACTACCCCCTAATCCTGCCCGCCCGCCACCCTGGGGAGAAAAAACGGATAGTACTCCTCCACGGAATCGACAGGTAAGACTTCAACACCTGTAATTTAGCCGGAGTCTGTTTTACCATTTCCCGGGATGAACCGGTGCAGATGCAGAGACAGTTGTGGGGTGAACAGCACAGCCTCCTTCTCCCTCGTGTATCTAACGCCGGTATTGCAATACATTAATGCTTGCTACAGGCAAAATACGTTGCAATGTGCGTTTAATTGTGCTCTCCTTCAAGCCACTGAATTGGCGATCTGCATGAAAGATACCTCAGGATACTATGAAATGAGATTTAGAGGGTGGAGAGAGGAGCCTGCGAGATCAGGTTCCCCTGTGAATCTAACGCACCATGGAAATCATGGTGTATGCAAAAAGTCGGAATAGCGAAATAGGAAATTTCGATTAAAAACGTTGGTTCTTAAAAGTTTTTAAAATATACTAGAATGAGGGCGGGTTGGTCATACCAAACAAGTATTGTAGTTTATACAACCTAACACAAGTAAATATCTTTGATAATTTTATGCATTTATGTACAATTTTACATTTATATTGCTTTATGGATGAAGTGTGTTCCAATACGTGATATGATTATTCCGAGATTGATACGAACGTCTACGTGTAGATATACGTTCCATATGAATCGTAACTATAGCTTCTAAATAGCTATTAATTCTGTGCGTAGCACTATGGATGCAAAGTGGTAACAGTGGTATTATCCTGTATGAGTCTCTCGTCAACCTAAACAGAGGGTATGAATACTAACTTAGAAAACAAAGTGGTATTTAAAGGATTTACATCAATCTTGCTAGCACTGACATCTAGCTGGAGCCAAGCCCCTTTTTTATCTGAATTTTAAAAATAAGAGAAAAAAATACAGTGACACCTCTTTAATCCGGACGATCCGGATTGACGAATTGTGGGAATAAGGTGATTTTAATCACAGATAGAGTGAGTGAGTGAGTGAGTGAGTATGGTTTTACGCCGCTTTTAGCAATATTCCAACAATATCACGGCGGGGGACACCAGAAATGGGCTTCACACAATGTACAGATAGAAATAAGGTCACCACACTAAACGTCCGGAATGCGAGGTTTCCGGATTAATGGGTTCCGGCCTAACGATATTCCACTGTATTGTATAGGTTACATGGTTTCTCACCACCTAGATTATTTTTATCTTCACACATCAATTCTCCGGACCTTTCACACATCTTGTGCCCAAAAGGGTTTCCTGTGCCATTTAAAATGACCACACTACCACTGCACCACGCGTGCCTTGTAGGGCCTAACTGGCTCATCCTCTCGACAGTTTATCGACTTGTTACAATGACAGCAAGTAGGTTAGGCATAGTTTTCACTGGCTTTATCTACCCAGCAACAGGCCAGAGAAGGGCTCTAGGTGCCCGCGTCTCAGTCCTTTAGTGAATGGGGCGATCCAATTTCTTCAATTATATCAGTAATGACCGGGTAATCAATTTCTGGAGCGCTGGGTGAGCAGCGAAGCTGGGAGATGGTAGGCATGACAAGGAGGGGATGCTCAGAAACCTATACATCCGTTGCGCTGGCACAACTATTCGTTTTGCTTCAATGGCTTGCGATAGCATGGGCGTAGTCGTTTGTGGTTTACATTGGGCGTATTTGGTTTGTGGTTGGTGTCACGGCATAAAAAGGACTAAGTAGATTAATCGTGGAATAATTATGTGATAGCGTTGGAGTGAGTCTATCGTTAAACCGTGTTTACATCGACAGGCAGCAATCTACCTGCTGCCATCGCGAGAAAATTGCTGGGTTTTCTTTGAGAGACACATCTGCAGTAAACTTAATCTGGGACGTTTCATTTTGGGAGAGAACCTGTAGTTTTGATTTACGATTCGTCAGCTATAATAGCAAATATATTGAACATTATGATAATATATAAGTATGTGGTATAGTAATTTGGTAATGATACTTAAAATTCCTTAATTCTTAAAAATGATCAAATATATTCCTAAATTAAAAGTAAATAATTTCAACAAAACACACTTATGTGACTGAAAAGCTAGTTTGGATTTCCCTTTTACCTTTTGATACTTCGTAATATTATTGTGTAGATTCCTTGGAGTTTTAAGATGTCTTTTAAATACCTCGTGATGGGTATGGATTTTATTTGCAGCTAGACAAATTATGATTTATGAAGTATGAATACCAATTAGAATTAATTATTATATTGTTCTGTTTGGTTTCTTTTGACGAAATGTAGACTTGATCATTGGTTGATTTGGCAATAATGTTCTGGTTTGGAATGCTTAAATCAGCTGGTTTTAAATCATAAGATGAAATTAATCACCCAGTTGTCCCGCCACCAGTTTCAAAAGATGAAATTGACAAATATTCTTGTCACGCCTCAAGTTTTATAAGACGAAATAGACCACTGTATTTGTCCTGAATCAGATTGAAATCGACAACTGCACCCTTCACCCTAAAAATCGGAAACGGAACAAAACTCAACATTGCTTAAAAACCCAATTTCTCAAACCATTTCCCTTATTCAAGTCGCTTCGTACTTGTATTGTGACCCTTCACCCCAGTAATGATTTGTACACATGATAATGCCCGACGTTTATATAGCAGGGATTACCAGTTGACCAGAGCCGACCTTGTGTAATATAGTATGTTGGAATTACCCAAAGACCATTTCTCAAATAGACGCTTTGAGTTTGTCTGTGTCATTAAATGCATGGCTAGTGAAGACAGGAAAATTGTGTCTGAAAAGTTTCCCGAAAACTCATCTTTCCCACACATAACATTTTAGGTAAGTGCTGTTTTTCGCTGAATCATCATAACGAAATAATACTCCACAAATAGGAATTCGTAGTCCACCCAATCCCTTCTCATCATAAATCAAGCCTATTATTCACGACATAGGCGATTATCTCCCTTTACATACAAACACCGCTTTCCGTTACTGGCTAGAAAGAATGTAATTACTTCAGTAACAACAATATTGATTTATTGAGAAAACAGTTAAGGAAATCAATACCCTCCCAGTATGAATGATTCTGTGGCGGACGACAGGCGAACCCTTCTTATAGGGCACAGGCGACCCCGTTTATTGAAGAATTAGTTTGTTTGCTCATAAATTGGTAGTTTATTAGTATAGCTTGTTAGCCAAACGACGCTGTAGTTGATAAATATAGGCGAGGTTGGTGCAGTTTTAAATTGGCCATTTTCCGACTTTGGCTTCTGCGAGCTAATGATGATTTTCAGATTCCATCGATACAGTGTTGTTATTGGATCGATTCTCACACTGATGGTTATCTATATGGGGATGTTAGACGCTAATGCCTGTTTTAAATCGGGCACGGCACTATTGGGGGCTTTGCGAACTTTTTAGATGTAACACTTTGATTAAACTGATTTTCTATTGTGTTTAAAAATTACATGGTCAAATTTGCTCGAACTTTATACATAAGACAACAAGTTTTCACGGGCGTGCAGGTGATTTTGTGCTGAGTGAGTTATCGAGGTTTAAATCTCTCTGCCGTAAAGGAGGCTATGAAACCTGTTTTGTTCAATATGAAATGGATCGGCTTCAAACACAATATATTATGTCCTTGCTATTTGAACAATTAAACTTCTAGATATTAATATTTAAAGCAAATGTAAATGTCACATGAAATCAAATCGATAAGGTTTTTTTTTTGTCTCGTACAAGTTTGTATAGATCATTACAAAGACTAGACCTGCAGCTATTAGTAAGTTGACACGACATGTAGAAACGCTACGAGATTTCACATGTATATAAATGAAAGCAACAAAACCATTTCGATGATCCTAAGAAATATCCACTCCATGGTACGATTTTAACCATATCATAAGCATATGTTTATGAATCACTATTAAACAGTGGTGATCCCAGGTGTTCGCGAAAGGGTGACCGTATCCTGCCCCAACGGTGACACCCATCACAAACACATGCAGAAGTCAATTGTTGACCTGAGCACATTGGGATGGCAGGACATCATATTTGTCAATGATGCGTCCGATTTGGAAATGTCCACCACATATCTACCATAAAACGTTTCATGTGTATTGGTATGTTTTGTAATATCATTTGAGTTTAATATTGTGCCAGTGTCGTGGTTACGTTGTATATATTTGAAGGAACCCGGCATAAATAAATACAGTAAACTACGTTTATAACGAACATGCTTATAACGAACAAACGGATATAACGATCTAACTTTTAGTTCCGACTATTTGCTGTAGTTATACTGTATATATGCCTATAACGAATTACGGTTATAACGAACTAAAACTAGTAGTCCCTTTGAGTTTGTTATAACCGTAGTTTACTGTATACCGGTAGTAAATATCTATGGCTGTGATGTATGTCTACAGCAAACTATATATTTTGTTGGGTTGTGTTTCACGTTAAAGTTGGTGAGAACCAGCCATGGCGTCATCTCCCATAAATAAAATTATGTATTAGCCCTAGTATTAAAGTATTTCATGCTGAAGATACCCTATTCGCATGCACACATTTACACATTAATAAATATACATGTCTAAAAATGTTAAATTTAATTAAATTATGTCTAAATGAATTCGTGAATGTTATTCACTACTGGAAGATATTTACATCAGGTTAATTTGCTTGTATAAAAATTTAGTGTTTTGAGACCATGAGAACTGGGCCCGAGTGTCAAATAGTTAATTTACATGTATGTACTAATACGCCCACGGGCTAATACCGTGCACTCGAACGGGTCTGTGAATATAATTTACAGTCAGGGATTTAGTCTTGTGTGAATATGGTGACTTACCGCCATGTTGTATTAAATATTTCATAACGCGTTTCAAATATACAATGGAACACTACTACTAATATCGTCTCAAAGCCATCAAATACCACACAACCTTGATCCACGTCTTAAAATTAAAACACATTTTTTTATCAATAAATTGACTTTTTAGAAGCGATACTAAAACCTGTATATATTCTTATCTATCATGCAAGAGTATTATTTTCAAGGAAGATAATAACCATATTGAAATT